TATATACTATAGTATACTACACACACACACACACACACACACACACACACATATATATATATATATATGTAATGTATATTGGAATGTACACACGCACAGGCACACACACACGTATATATATATCTATATCTATCTATATATATGTATCTATCTATATACACCTACTTCTATATTTATATATATATATATATATATATATATCTCTCTCTCTTTCTCTCTCTGACACCGATTCATTTCCAACTATTCCCACTACTTCTTGCTGCGATCTCCACAGATGTGCACCGCCTGCCCGGAAGTATACACTGAGCGTGCCAAGAACACTCTGAAGAACAACATGCTTCTCTCGCTCGAGAGCTCTACTGCTGCGGCTGATGACATCGGTCGTCAGATGCTTGCATACGGCCGTGTGATGCCACAGAATGAGATTGTGAGCCGAATCGATGCGGTCACTACTGCTGAGGTGCAGTCTGTGCTGGTGAAGTACATCTACGACCAGGTGAGTGTGTGGGGGTGGTGCTTGTGTTGTGCACAGTGTTGTGTGTATTTGTATCCATGAGGCGTGTGGTGGATGTGTGCGTGTGTGCAGGTGTAGGTGGGCGTATCGGCTACTGGGGGTTGGCGATCTTGTGTGTATGTTCTTGCGTGGATATGCCTGCACATGTGTGTATTCCTATAGAAGCACCAACAACTTCGCTTTATGTCTGGCGTCGTTGTTGCAGTGCTTTTACTGCGTTCGAGGCTCTCCATATCCCTGCGTATCTCTATACATATGGCTGGCATAACGATATAAGTGCTTATCAATCATCACGATCTCTCTGAGGAGCGCATATATATATACATATACATTCATATACATATACATAAAAATATACATGCACATATATACATATGTACATTTGTACATTTGTACATATACATACATATACATATATACATTACATCCAATGATAGACTATCTGAGAATACACCAGACGCGCAGCATGCATTTGTAGCCATACGCAGGCACTTATCTATCGCACAACTGTCTGCACATAAGCTCCCTATGTATTAATACCTATGCACACCCACTTACCTACCACGTGCCTACCACACTATCGCCTGTACGACCACAGTGCCCCGCCGTAGCCGTTGTGGGACAAACGGAGGCCGTGCCTGATTACAACAGAATCAGATCCGGACAATTCTGGCTGCGTGTCTAGGTTTTTGGAATTGAATCCATCGCTTTGACCCGATTCGGTTGGAATTTGGGCCTGGCTCTATCTTGAATCTAGTTGCTCGTTGCTCGAGCTCTTGAATAAAATATACGTTGCACTGGTGTTTAACGTCTGGCCTTGCTTTATTCCTGGAAAATGTTATGCTTAGTTTCAATGCGGAGAGGTGTTTGTACATAGGTTTGAGGATATGTGTTCTTAAAATCGGCAGGTTCCTCCCCTGTGATACGAAGTATCGCGGGAGTATTTACATCAGCTTGTTCTCACTGTATTGCATGGTTGCACTATGTAGGCTCGATTGGAATTGTAGTCAAAGTCTATTTGTACTGATATAGCACAACCAATAGGCGCCGGACATAGACTCAGTGTTGCCATCTAATTAATACAGCAACACAAAAGAAGAAATACATCTATAAAACCACATAAATTTATTGAATGTGCGGCGATTCATGACATTATAATACTACCAGCAACACAATAGAAAAGATAAGACTATTAAATTACTTATATTGAATGTGGGCCCATGGATAACATTGTAACAGTTTCAGCAACACATAAGAAGGGACAAGACTATTAAATTACTTATATTGAATGTGGGCCCATGAATAACATCATAATACTTACAGCAACACATAAGAAGAGATAAGACTAATAAATCACATATATTGAATGTAGGCCAGGCCTTGCTGTTGTCACAACAGCTTCCAGCAGTTGCTTAAAACATGGGTTCAATCGCATCTCTATGACTTTTTATGCCCGCTGTTATCAACAGCGAAAAAATCAGAATTTGATTCGGATTTTGGGGGTTCTCTGTGAATATCTCAAACTGGCTTTTACAACCAATCACAGATGACTCATACTCTCAAAACAGTTTGGATTTCATGAATCTACAACTACGAAGAAACTATAGCTTGTCACCTTCCTAGTAAACTGAATAATAAAGTCTTGTCACCAAAATACCTAGAGTTGGAATGACATTGGAATTTAATGTCATTCTAACGAACGTTATGAATGCTCATTGAATAGCCATTGTAGCCAACGTCGTCACTATTCCGTTTTCTATTGCACTATGCCTCATTGTACGTCTTTAATATTGTGTCTAAAGGACTTCTGGAGCCTAGGAATAGTCTGATAGCAGCATTGAGTGTGCCGTAATCATTGTTTGTGTACTCTGTAGGTGCGAACTTTCATGTACCACTAACTCGCGAATATTGATGCTAAGGGGTTGGTTCAAACGAACTAATGATTAAATTTGTCGGCTTATTCTGTTTCACACGGTAGATTAGAGTTTGTTTGACTAATAGCGCAATTGATTCAAAAGTCACTGTCCCAGAAGTTAAGTCAATTTGTCTTGGATGATAGACGAATTTGTGGTTAAAATTGTCCTCGGATTTGCGGAACAACATAATAGTCACTGTTCGGATATCAGATTATGACATTCGAATAAAGGAACTCGAATTATGTTGTAGTCACAATCACATTCGGAAAGTTACTAGTATAGCTTCTTAGTGCAATCCTGGCTGAGAATTTGATAGTAAATACGGTATTGCCGTTTTTTAAGTAACATGATACCCTGTTCTCGAGGGCTCAAGTTAATTTTATCCCATTACATCCTTATCATCCAGGCTGTGCGCTTCTGGATGCAATATTGTTATGGGGATTTACGTATAAGCTATGCAATACCTAAATGCATATTGCAAATAATGTCAAAGACTACAACTGTCCAGCTGCTTGTCACTGTGATTATATTATACAGAAAAATCTCATCATTTGTGTAGGACAATTGTTATCTTTAGCCTTTTATTGAAATCGTTCGGCCAATATTTTGAAATGGTGATTTAGCTCAAACCATGGTTGCAACTGCTTCTGAATGTATCCACTTTGAATATACAATTTTAGACTTAACTCTCCAATGTAAAATTACAGTGACTTGTGAGTCGACTTGCTGACAATTCCCCTTATTGAACATTCTGCTTGTGATGTCTTCATTCGCTGTTTAAAATCAGAAGTTCAGTCTTTCATCGCACATCTCCAAGAAAAGGTGACCCGTTCAGCTTTTATAAATTATAACTCAATCTTTTTTATAAGCTGCGCCAAGTACTTTCTTCTCGATGTAAACTCTCAGATGCACTACATACGGACTTGTGTCAACTTTGGGGGTTGACATCTGATTTGGCCTTGGTGGGATCTCAACGCAGCCACAGTGAAAGATGTTCTGCCGCTTGGTATCTCACAAATTAGAGCTGTGGCTGATTTTGCTTCTGAGATGTCAAAATTGGAAAAATTAACAATTGTCGCAATCTAATCTTTAAAGAACAACCTACGTGGACTGAACCCACAATATCTTCAGTTCGCTATTTTAATTTCATCGTGGTGATTTCTGTTGAGGTTGGTTGAAGGTTGGAAGGCTTGTTTGCTTTCTTTAGTGCGAACTTCGGGCAACCTAGACACTCCACCATTACTTCAAGGCGCCACCACTACTTCAAGGCTCCATAAAACTGCTTTAAGGCTTCATTTAACTGCATACATTCCAATCAACATAATCAAAACAAAGGCCGATTGAAATTTAACTAGTCTAAGGAATCGATAACTGAAGGATTAGAGATTGGTTCGTACGTCTTAAGACGGTTGGTTGGTTTGCAAACATAATGCAAGTCTTACCCGAGGGAATAAATATCCGATTTTTTTTTTGGTCATTAGATCCGATGTATCTACGCTTCGAAGGTTGCATCGATTTATCTCGTATCTCGCAATTTAAAAAAAACATTGATGCTTACAGAATGGCAGAAGATATAATGATGTGAGCATTTCGACATGACTCATAATAAACAAAGGCACAGGGCGGACACAATGGAAAACTATATAAAACAGCGATATGACTTTGCTATTGATTTTAACTAAACGTTTTATTGCTCTACTGCTGTCATTTATTCCTTCAATCCATTACTTTGTTGATATTAGACCCGTAAGCACTGGTCCATTTGCAATCAACTTGGCTAATACGAAAGGGCTTACTTCTTTTTTTTTATCGAGTACTCGATGCACAGAAGGTAATACAAGTGTGTAGTGTTTGCGGCTTATATTAAGGTATATTAACCGATTTGTTGTCTGACTCTAAGCGTATGAAGTCAAATGCGAATATTGCATGGTGCACAATTAGAACAGCTTAATGGCCCAAAAACTATAGAGGCAGATAGTCAAGACTACATCTGGATTAGTTCACAAACATATCGGCATTACAGTTTACGCTTAATCTCGATCTACACGTGCCACAAGGCAAATCCTAAGATTGCGTGCTTCCAGTCCATTGTCAACCGTCGGCGTTCGCACGATACTTCGTACGGTGGAAGTAGTATGTTGCCTTAAGTTTTTGTGGAGCTAGTTTAATATATGAATTTTTATGTAAGAAATTGAAACTTAATGATATGTGAAGATCGATTCAGACGTGATCCTTTCCAATCACACAAGGCCACTTAAATAATATGTATATTGGGAAGGAATTGGTGTGTAGCATAACTTCAGACGAACACCTGAGTAAGACAAGGTCGCCCAAGCTTTTCGAACCTTATTTTGTTAATAGTCAGGATAGGACAAACGATGGATTTAGGATAGTTTTTATTTATTCAATCAATTTGCATTGTGTAAGGTGAATCTCGAGAGGGCGTGTCGCGAATTATGCATGGAATACTGAGGTGACAGTTATTGCAGTAAAAAACCAAGGGAAAGGGAATAATAATTAGCCCGTAGTGGCCCAAGTTGCGATTCGATACTTCGTTGAAACTAATACAGGAGGGAGATTGACCATTAAAAATATAGAAAACCTATAGAAAAGCGATCGTCTAAACAACATCATTCTGTTATCATTGTAATCTCAGTCAAATCGAAGTGCACAATTCAGCGCAGTCCTACGATTTAAATGAGACTGATATGCTGCTAAATCACACGTACCGTATTGAAGCTACAATTCTTGATGTATTTTTAGGTTCCAAGTATATAGCTTAAGTTTAACCTCCACCCGTCTGTTTCCATAGTTGAATCTCACCTTTATACGCAACTAACAAAAACTAACTCTTTCGTTCAGCGTCGAGTAGTACGCTCAAAATTGAGGTCGCATTCAATAATAATGTCTTTATAATCCTTTCAGTCAATGTGAAAATAAGATGAAGGTGTTATATGCATTAAAGTGCCACTGAATTCAAACTTCTACGAAGAGTAGTGGAATATACTCACTGGCTGTTATCGGTAATTTTCTATCTAGATTAGCATCTGAAATATAAAAATACGTCAGCCAAGTTCGTATTTAATATAATCACTCTAAGGCCTGAGCGTATTTAAGACTACGTACTACTTCATGTAGTACTCATCAAAATTTTACTTTTATTCCAACACCACCCACCCAGCCTAAACTTTTCATCAGTCTTCCACTTGCACGACGCAAGAGGCATCAGCCACTCGTTAGTAGGTATCTGGGCGAGTGTCTCCCATAGGTGTAGCCGACGTCGCCATGAAGTGACACACGTAGTATGGATGGGCGGTTAGAGCTGAATTAATACTAGATACAAGCACGTACACTTGATAAGAATTGAGGTCAATCTCCCCCTTATCTGTCGCCGCGGATTCGAGATTCTCCTCTAAACATAATTCACGTAGAATTCCGCCGCACCTATCGAGTTCACTTTGACGAGCATTGTGTCTTTAGATGACTAGAAATAAAGTACGATAAAACATTAAGAATTTCTCCACGATCACTAAGTATACCAACCGCACACGCAGGTGTTTGATAACTCACCCTGAACAGGTACCCTAATCGACGGGCATCAGCGTGAACTAGACCGTGATATGGCCCTGAAAACTCCTGCTCTATACTAGATTGTTCAAGTCTTCCCAATGAACTGAAATGCCAATCACAGCATTACATAATCCTGCTGGATGATAACTATTTTATATATGCACAGCTGCACATGGCCCAATACCACACCACAGTCATACATTGCAGTTGCCTACACTGCTCTGCACAGTGCAGCGTAGGGAGCACACATCTAAGTTTAATACCGATGGCCTCGTTATGTGTCTTGTATGCATCAGCCTGTGTGGTAGCTCTTTCTGCGAGCACTCTCGGATCTATGCATGTCAGTTTGCATGGCCACAAAGACGGGGTCTGGAGATATGGCCACCGTGGGTATGTTTGGAATAGACATTCGTCTCTGTGACGTTCGTACAGACCTTTTGGGAACGGTTGCTTTGTAATCGGCCTCTTTCTCTAATACCCTACTCTTCCTGGACTGTTGCAACAGAACTGCAAAACCTGCAAAGGATTGCTTCCTGGCAACTTCGTACATAGTTTCCTCTGCATTCATAGGTACCAGCTCGCCCTGCAGCGATTCAGTATCTGGTTGTAGGGCGTCCAGGTTGTATCTATTTTTGTACGCGAAGTACCAAGCACTGGCCATAGCCACTGCGCCGAATATGGAGCATCCACATACTATCCAAAAGCCATACTCAACACCTCCCAGGGCCTCTGCCACCACTCCACACACAGTTGGGCCGAGAAAGTACCCAAACAGATTGTACACCAACGTAGCAGCCGATGAGGCAAATGCACGTAGATGAGAAGGCACAGATGACATGAGCACACCTGTAGCACCCGGCACAATGCCCCCACCGAATGCGAGCAGAATCCATATCAGGCCAATATTGGCCCAGAAGTTATGCACAAATATAACCGTGTAAGCCGCAAGCACCGCACAGACGCCAAACACAGTGCTGACTTTACACGTGGTGATCATGCCCTCCACACCACGGTATCCACCTAGCTTATCCATGACGATTCCTCCCACTATCACACCGGTCAACGGGCCTGTTGCGCTCACCACAGAGAACGCGATAGTCACGGTCATCGGGTCTACCTGCAGATACTCGGTTAGATAGCGCGTGATCCACATCTGTATACCGGTCACCACAAAGTACAACGAACACAGCGCTCCGACACAGGACAGGTACAGTCCATTGAAAATCAGGTACTTACACTGCACCCATATTTTGGGCCACTTGTCCTGCAGGAACATGTCTATCCGCCTACTCCGCACGATCCCACCCGCACGCACCTTAGGCGGGGCAACGTCGATTTCGACCGATTCATCGCGTTTCTCTCTCGCCATCTCATCGTCTACGGCATCCAGTTCCGGCGTGGAGTCCGGTTCACCCAGCTTAGGTTTAGCCACGTCTCCATACATGCTCAGATGGCCCGCCACGTTGTTTTGGTCGAACAAGTCTGCTTTCTTGTCTGACTGTCGGGAACTGGAAGCACTCACCAGAGAATCTCCTGAGACCGTCTGTTGCAGCTCATCAGCTTGACTACTTTTCGCATCGCCTCGAGACTCTGCACGAGTCGCGGGAGAAGACCCCTCGCCATCCGAAGTGCCCCGTGGTCTGGCGTGCGCACGCGTACTCTCACCTCGATCTGAACTAGCCAGTATTTTCAGATCATTGTCAATGAGATCGTTGAGGATGTCAACCATCTCCTTCTTGTGACCGTCTTCGTCGGTGTTATGTTCGGCGTCTCGCATCGCCATGGATATCTTTGTGTCAATATACTGATCGGGAACCAGAACCAAACCGATCACGAGGGGAAGCAGTAACACGGACTGCATAAAGTACGGCAACATAACCTTAGCAAAGATAGTAGGATCATCCAAGTCATCCTCCGTGGTTATGTCGCCTACAATCAACGGAACTATGATACCTGCGATCAAATAACCCAACATGATCCCAATAGGCACCCCCCCTTGCATCAGTGACATCCACAAGGTGATCTTGCCTGATGGAGCGAACTCATCCACCCACACAGGAGCGTAAATGACTAGGAAGGCTTGTGACATACCTATGATTACTCGCAATAACAACGCCGCTGTCTTGTCCGGGCACACACCGAAGAGCACGTTGGCCACTATATTGATGCACACGCCAATTGCCAGCACATACTTGGGGTTGAACCGCATGAATAGAAATCCCGCATACAAGGACGAGATAACAAGACCGATATACACCAACGACGTCAACAGTCCGGCCTCTGTTTCATTCATATCCCACTTAGTCTTGAGCAGCAACAGGGAATACGCAATTGCCCCCGAATCATAGTTTATAATAATCTGCATTGTAATCAGCAACAAAAATGTACGCGAAACCCCTTTGTTGTACTTTTTCTGCTCCTCTGTCAATTCTTCATCATCTTCGTTATCTTCATTTAACACCACTAAGTCAGGCTTACTCACAAACCCCGTGTAGTCCAGATCCAGAGACGAATCATCTTTGTCATCATCCTCACCGTGGAAGCTAACCTCACTCAGCGTGCCCTCTAAGTTGGCCTGAGAGGTGGCGGGACTGGGTGGCATTGTTAGTGATGTTGGGACTACCAACTCAGTCAGGCGCTGGTTCTCATCGCGCGCTACACTGTTTGCTCTGCTGTTGTTAGTGTTTCGTCTGGACATGGAGAATAAGCAATAGTATGGTAGGTATACTTGTGTATGATTCAGCCGTTGGCTAATGTATAGAATGACTTTTTAGATGACAAACTAGTAGCAGACGAATGTAAAGTCGCGAAGAAATGTGTTGATCACTAACAATATGTGTTTTCGACACGCCAATTGCCGGATACGTGCTGGGTGACTATTGATAGCTTACTGTGCTCAGCATTACTTGGCCGGAGTCCGTCGTCTAAACTAAACAGCGAGTACACAATCTGGTATTTTTGACTAAGTAATCGATAACAAACAAGATGTGATCTGCAAGTGTATATAGTGGGTGCCCCGTGTTCGTTGTTGCCTAGTAGTAATCCCCTTCCAACCCACTGAATGAGGATGGGTGTTCTATCATTCTATGTGAGTATATAAAGCAATATTTACATCATACAATACAGTTCGCCTTCTCTCTACTGTCGAGAGAGTGTTACCTTTCTGCATTTGGTAATAGGAAAATAAAACCCTGAGTGAAAACTTCTTGAAAAGCACAAAGCATCATCACAAAATCAAACAGAAGAATTTACGTACAGCATAGCCGGTGACTTTTTTCTGAAGACCAATAGTTTACGTATGCACTTGATACATCTCATTTAGGCCAGGCTTTCCGAACGCAGACGACGAAGGGCTTGTAAATACATAAAAATTTAGTTTAAAATAACTATAATATGTAAATAAACGTACTATTCTAGAACAAGCATCAGGCAGCGGGGATTAAAAAATATAGCCTTCAAGTCTTCAAGTCTCACAAAGACTCGCTAAAAAACAAACAAAAATAAAACTAAACAATTGACTTTTGTATTACTAAATACCTCTGGTACAAATTGTACTGAAAATACCAAACCCGGAGACGGAGTCTTCGGAGACGGAGAGTCTCCGGGGTTGCTTTTGGCACTGTGACTGGGGGGTGATATAAAGTGAAATATGTAAATATTTATGTACAAAATAGAGGACAAATATTTTTTTTAACAAAATATTTAGAAATACATATTGAGTGTTGACTGTCGACATTCTGCCCTGTGGCCTCTGCTCTGGAATCTGGATTGAGTCTCCTCCGGTTTTAGGGTTTTAGGGTTTTAGGGTTTAGGGAAAGTTGCATCGTCCTGTACTAAATAAGTCAATAGGCGTCTATGTAGGGACAAATTATTTTTTGAGAAACTTTATCCAGAGGGCCATGCAGTTGAGAGCTGCTGGCTCAGTGGCTGTCGGGTTAAAAAAGAAAAAGAAAAGATGCGTTCGCGCCGAAGTGTCAAATGTCAGAAACACATGACGTGTAAATACTGTTGACATGTTTTTTTTCTTCACAATGCACGCATCCGTTCAATATTCATCGCGTCTTGTACTTATATCCCATGGGACTACCTATGACTCCTAAACTCTGTGATATCCTCCTATCTAGTATACGGTCCACACTCCTTTAGACAACCTATAAGCGTGGACAAGCTTTGCTTTTGCCCATGGAATCTGACGCTACGCCTGCGAAGCAGGCTATTCGTGCTTTAGTCGGTATGTTGAAATACAAATTTTATCCGTCCAAATACGAAATATAGCCAATGGGCGTTTCTAACTACACATGTACTTTTGGCACATAAATAAATACAAATTACGAAGAACAGTTCACGATGCGGTTATTGTTTCTGCAACACATATGCACATGAAGTACGCATCTATATATGTAGAAGCGAATGCATATATATATATGTATATATATAGATATATATATATACATATATAGATATATAGATATATATATATATATATATATCTATATATCTATATTGGAATATCTTAGAATCTGATGTATAGTTGTATTCGTTCTGGAACATTGCATGTATTTCCCCTTAGCCGCTTCCTGTAAATATG